GTATAATCAAGCATGTGATGACTCCAGTCTCGCTCTATCGCCTTCTGAAAAGCCCAGGAAGAAATGGAAAGAGGCCACAATTCTGATGGGCACGCTGACACACATGAGCACGCGCAGAAGCTGGCCTGCAGTAGTCTCAGGCCTGCCAGCGGACAAAGCGTCCGTCCGTGAGGACAGGCGGTGGCCACTGCTCTTGGGTGCCCCCCAGACTGGTGGCTGCAGACTCCACGCACACTGATCAGATAGCACACGAGGAAATCAAACTGGTGCTGATGGCACTCCTGCTGCCTCGCTCTCAGATTACCAGGAGGAGCTACACCGGCTGCTTGGGGGGAGGGAGGGGGGCGCAGCAGGCTTCCCCAGCTGTGAACACCGAGAACTGTAATAAGGGCTGGCATGCTGAGATAGGCCCATGGGTGCAACACGCGTGATGTTACGGGGATGACCAATCGCTTCCTGATGGCTCCACATGCAGGAGGAAATACACACCTAGATCTGCACATCTGGGCAGGAGCCCCTGCTTGGGAGCTCACGGGTCCTAGGAGTGGACCTGCCATCCGTCCGCTAAATGGACCCAGTGTCAACCGCCTTCCACACTCGCCTTTACGCCCACCGAGAGTGTGGCTCTGGCCTCCATCACAGAAGCTTCTTTTTGCAGTGGAGAGCAGTTAACACGGAGACCCACGCTGGCCACAGTGGAGAAAGCGGTGACCGTGGAGCGCTCGGCCCTTCCGAAGGCTCTGTGCCACTCCCCATGCCCAGTACACTCACACTCACTGGGGAAGAGTGGAGAGAGTGTGTAGGAGCCAGGGAGAGTGTTCGAAGCCGTGCACCCCGAACAGGATGGGACGGTGGCTCCCATAAGCTCAGCAGCTGGTGTGTCTGCACAAGCTCAGGCACCGACTGGGAAGGGGTTCATCAGCCCACACCCCACAGCTCAGATGCTGTGGACAAACGGCGGCTCTGGGGGCCGGGAGAGCCCGTTTCTTCAAGGGTGTGGCCCTGGGTAGGCCAAGCACCCCGAGGGCACCCCCAAGCACCCCGAGGGCGCCCCACACCCATTAGTCCACAGAGGAGCAGGTGGGCTTTGTGGGATGGGCGGGGGGAGCAAAGCTGAGGTAGGAAGCCAGGAAAGGGGTGAGCACGAGCAGAACACCCTGTGTGACCTCTGCAAAGTGCTAACGAAACACAACGTTGTTTGTCCCGTGCTTTACCTTTTTTGGCCTTCAGAGCCTCTGTGTCCTGCCCCACCAGCTCCACGAATGTGTAATTAACTGAATGTACACATTTTCAACAGAAAACAAAAGCTTCTTTACCAGAAAAATCCGAGGACAAGTCCACGGAAATCAGCCACGTTGGGGTTGCAAATGATCTCAGCCACGCTCAGCCACTACCCCCCCCCAGGACCTTCAGGGCCAATGTCACCCTTCCACGGTGACTTGGGAATTTCTTCCCTTCCCTGTGCATATTTAGGGTCTTTTTGTGACATTTTAGCCTGTGCCCCCAAAGGTCTTTTCGGGGTTTTGCTGGTGGGGTATCTGGAAGATTTTGTAGCTACAGTGCTATAATGTAACCAGAGTGCTACATAAAGACTTCAGAGCAAACGGCAGAGGACCCTGGGTTCATGCGCACAGATGAAGTGCAGGTATCCCCAAGAGTGCAGCCACGCCCCTCAGGCCCCAAAGGCTTCAGGCAGGAGATCAGGCGGAACTGCACGAGAAGGCCAGGGGCACAAATACGGCCTGGGCGATGGCGCTGCGCAGGAGCACACCGGCTGCTCTCCACAGACTCCAGGTTCGGTTCCCAGCACCCACGCCGAGCGGCTCACAACCACCTGTAACCGCAGCTTCAGGAAAGCCATGCCCTCTCCGGCCTCTGAGGACAGCTGTGCTGACACAGACATGCAAACATACAGGAATAAGAATAAAAGTGCAAACATTAGCACTGAGTAAACTGATATTATTTTCTCTAGAAGCCCCAGCAAGGACAATGAGGAACGAAAGGAGAGGTTAAGCAAGGGAGACAAGAATGAGGTTGGCTGTGTGTTGACAGTTACTAGGTGAGTGCCTCAGTTTACCCACTGCGCTTTTGTATGTTTTGAAACTTTCCAGAGTGAGAAAACATCCATGAGAGGGTTAGCCTGGGCCATCGGGTCCAGAGGCTCCCGTGTTCTGCAGCCTAACGCATCGCTGCTTTCCTGACCCCAAACATGGAGCACACACCAGGGCTTGCCCTGAGAGCTGTTGTACACAAGAACCACAAGGACTCCAGCCTGGTCAGCGTGTTACACAGCTGCATTCTTCCAAGGGAATTCAATTAAAAAAAAAAAATCCAAAGAAAAATGCTCGGAGCCACACTGGAGGCTCCGCCAGGGCTCTTCTGCAGGTACAGCGGGGTAAGAGGATGCCAAGCAGGCTACACACTCACACACACACACACACACACACACACACACTCACACACACACTCACACACACACACACACACACACACACTCACACACATACACACACACTCACACACACACACACAC